ATGTATGTATGTATGTATGTATGTATGTATTTAGTTGACAGTAAGCATTGATAATATAATATTTTAGAGTAGTGAAAAGCTGTTCTGTGGTTAAAATTTTCTTCTTTTTTGAACCAAACATTTTCTTGAAAAATCAATAACCATGGCACAGCTGTTATTTTTGTCATTGTTGTGTCTTACCAATAACATATTTATTATTAAAAAAATGTAATTTTGTAGCTAGGTTTTCTTTGTATGTTTTTCCATCTCTATTGTCTTCTTTAATTTGGGAATCTATATAAAATACTATTTATATTATGTTAACATTTCACAACCTAGGGTACAAGATTTGGTGCTAATATAATTATACTGCTATTATAACATACTAATAAAATTATTATATCACATATTATAAACTATGTCACATATCAAATTATGATTTTATAACCCATAATAAATTATATAGAATGTAACAAATATATTTGTATGTTATAGTGTAATGTAAAAATGTTAGTTTTCTGTCACTATAACAAAATACCTAACATGAACAACATATAAAGAAAAATGGGTAATTTTGATTCACTGTTTTAGAGATTTATATTTTTTGAGATAGCTTTATACAGATCAGGATGCTCTGAAACTGCACAAAGATGGAGTGCAAACATCAAAAAATTTTTCCTTTTATTTGTAGTACTAAGGATTGAACCTTGCAACGGCTTCATGAATGCTAGGCAATCACTCAACCAGTTTAGCTATGTCCTCAATCTAGTATTAATGGTTCAGATACAGAATTAGATGTAATCTTTGCCTTGAGTTCCTGATGTAGATGCCAGATGGCCATACTAGGGAACCTATGGTAGAGCCAAACACTGATGTATTAGCTAGACAGCAAAGGAGGAGAGGAACATTTCTTGGGTTTTTTGTTTGTTTGTTTTTTAATTAATTTATTTATTTTATATAACCAAGTCCATTTAAATGAAAACAGACATTTATAGACAATATTTGGGAATTTAGGCATCGTTCTTTCCAAACTACTTCCTACTGGTAAGGGACGCTGTCATGGGTGATTCGAAGAAGATGCAGAAATCCTGGCTATAATCTGTAAGGCTGCTTTGTCCAGCTGTTTTGAATGTAGGATCACCTGGTACTCTGTTTCAGGCAGTTGGGCTTGATCAAACCACATTAGTCTGGAAGGAATCCACATCTTTCATTTTCTGTGGAAACAAAAATAGAAATCCCTTTCCCCAGTAACTTGTCCTTGAACTTAAATTTTGGAGTCAAAGCATTTTTTCTTTTTAATTTATTATTTTACATGTCGATCTCAGGTCCCTCTCCCGCCCTCCCTCCTTCCCTCCCTCCCTCACTCCTTCCCTCCTTTCTTCCCTTTTACCCTCTCTGCCCTCTCACATGCACTCTAACCACCCTCCCCTCCCATACTCCCACCCCAATTCCATATATAGGGGAATGCCATCCAGTTGGGGTCATGTAGATCTGACAGGTCATGTGAAGTAGGGACTAGGGCTTCTCTCCTGTCTCTAGGTTAAGGCAGTTATCCCTCCATGGGGGATGTGTTCGCAAGGTCCTTTTGTGTACTAGGGATACATCCTGGCTCCACTGTCTGAGGTCCCTTAGACTGCTCAGTCCTTCTGGCTGAGACCCATATTCAGGGGGACCTGAGTCAGTCCTATGCTGGCTTCCCAGCTATCAGTCTGGTGGCCCGTTAGCTCCTTCTTGTTCAGATAAGCTGTCTCTATGTGTTTCTGCTGCCTGGTCTTGTCCTCTCCATCTGCATCTGGGTTCTAGTTTGACTCAGTGTTTATGTATGGGTGTTTGCTCCTGTTTCCAACAGGTATTATATGATGGCTCCATTGATAAATTAGTTGTTGATCTAACTATCCTGGAAGGGCATTTATGGTAGCCTTTCCATGGATGCTCAAATTGTTAGTTGGCAGCAGTCTTGTAGTTCTCTAGACCTTTCTTTGTGTTCAATTTTTATCTTCAAACCAATATTGGCTCCTTCTTTTATGTTCTCTCTCTCTCTCTCTCTCTCTCTCTCTCTCCCTCTCTCTCTCTTTCTCTCTCTCTCTCTCCCTCTCTCTCTCTCTCCTGTCTTCTACTCCTAACTGGGCTCAATCTTCCTGGTCGCACATGTTTTCCTTTCCTCCCCCTCATTTTCTCTTACTTCTCTCTCCATTCGCTGCCCCCCACTTCCCCTGTGCTCTGGGGGTCTTGTCCCTTCCAGGTTCTGTGAGGGACTTTCTATGAATCTCTTAGAATACACCTTGTATCCTAGTTCCTCTGGTGGTGTGACTTATAGGCTGGTGATCCTTTGCTCTAGCACAAAACTCAAGTCCAAATAGATCAAAGACCTCAACATCAATCCAGCCATATTGAACCTCTTAGAAGAGAAAGTAGGAGGTACCCTTGAACAAATTGGTATAGGAGACCACTTCCTGAACATAACTCCAGTGGCACAGACACTGAGAGCAACAATTAATAAATGGGACCTCTTTAAAGTTAGAAGCTTCTGTAAGGCAAAGGACACAGTCAACAAGACCAAACGGCAGCCCACAGACTGGAAAAACATTTTCACCAATCCTATATCTCACAAAGGGCTGATCTCCAAAACATATAAAGAACTCCAGAAACTAGTCAACAAAACACCAAATAACCCTATTAAAAATGGGGTACAGAACTGAAGAAAGAATTCTCAAAAGAGGAAATCAAAAAGTGAAAGACACTTAAGAAAGTGCTCCACATCCTTAGCTATCAGGGAAATGTAAATCAAAAAAAGTTTGAGATGCCATCTTACTCCTAACTGAATGGCTAAAATTAGAAATACCAATGAAGACTCATGCTGGAGAGGATGTGAACAAAGGGGAACACTTCTCCACTGCTGGTGGGAGTGCAAACTCGTACAGTGATTTTGGAGATCAGTATGGCAGTTCCTCAGGAAAATGGGAATTAGTTTACCACAGGACCCCTCAATCCCCCTCTTAGGCATATACCCAAATGATCCACATCCATGCAACAAAGACAGCTGTTCAACTATGTTCATAGCAGCACTATTTGTAATAGCAAGAACCTGGAAGCAACCTAGAATGGTTAATGAAGATGTGGCACATCTACACAATGGAATACTACTCTGCAGAAAAAAAATAATGGTATCTTGAAATTTGCAGGCAAGTGGATGGCACTTGAAGAAACCATCCTGAATGAGGTAACCCAGTCACAAAAAGAGGAACATAGTATGTACAAACTCATATATGGATTTTAGACCTAGTGGAACATTTCTTGTAATCTCCTTGAAGTGAATTACACAATTATCTAACAATTTGCCATTAAGTTTTACTCTTCTTCTTAGTTCTATTACTTCTGAATATTACCATCCTGCTGACCAGTCTATGTCATATAATCCAAATTCTGGAAATGCTCATGAGAAAAAATGATACATTGATTAATACAGAGGCCTAGATTATAAGTGACCAAATAAAATACATCACCTAATGTTAGTTGTGAACAGGACACACTGATACAAAATTTGCAACACTCAACTGTCACTTAAAGGATGGAAGGATATGACTTAGAGAATGTAGACAGGGGAAGTGTCACTTCTGGCCATGGCTTTAACAAGATTCCACAAAGTTCTAAAATAAGATTATCTGTCAAGTTCAACAAATGGCCTTTTGCAATTTCAGGATGTCACAGAAAATCGACTTTCTTTCTTCATATTGCTATCCTATTTACTTTGATAAATTCATTAACATCAGATCAGATATACCCTTTAACAAAACTTACTCTGTGTGTGTGTGTGTGTGTGTGTGTGTGTGTGTGTGTGTGTGTGCACGCGCGTGCATGCCACAGCACAAATGTAAAGTTCAGTTGACAACGTTTCAAGATTCTATTCTCTCCTTCCATCTTCTTTCATGGCAAAACCTTTCTAGCTTCTTTTGGATTCATCCATCTTCCTGTAGTAGTACTGAGATTGCAGATGCATGCCACTGTGTTGGGCTTTTTACATGGGTTCAGGAGATAAAATTCAGTCCATCAAAAAAATGCTGCTACCTAACAAGACATGTCTTTGGCCCTTCAAATATAGTTGTTATTGAATTATCTGCAGATGGCCCTGAATTTCCTTCTACCTAAAGATTTTCTGGTGCATTTGTCCTTTCCTTTTATTTCCTACCCAATTGTTATATGACCTCATTTCTTTTTTTTTTTTTTTAATGTGTGTGAAACAGGTAGTAAAGACAGCAATACTTTTTAGTAGAATCTTTCCTAAATCAAGAACAGCCAAAAAGAGGTTTTCTTTTGGAACTGATAAATCATATCTTGTGTATAATCAATGTTCTCTAGGCTCTCAGCTGAAAATTTTAGAAGTGTGTGCCATATTCTTAGAAATTAAAGTTTAGGCTATAATGTCCTGAGGCATTCCATATCACCATATAAGTTCCTCAGGTTCTTCCTTTAGAACAGCCACTTAGAACAATAGCTACTACACCTGATGGACTTAACTACAATATTAACCTTTTGAGTATTATGTGATTAATATAGTCACCAGTGATGGTGTGAAAAGTATATGTTATGTATTATGTTTATTTTATAGGTCTTTATGATTATAGGAGTTAGAAAATCCCCATAAAATTAAATACAGAATAGCATCATGTATGAAAACAAATAATAAAGAATTTCCATTGTGGCAATTATAGCTAGCATTTGTTATAGTGTGTGTGATAATTTCATACTTCCTAACATCAATTTTATTTCTGATAGCTTATTTCTATCAATATCAAGTTGGCAAATCATAACAAGAAGTTCTCATGACTTTATTTCTTATATAACAACATTAGCCTGATGTGATTCCAAGGCATTGCCTATTTTCTGTGATATTCCATGTTTGTCCTCTAGTCTATCATCACCATCTTCTGATATTATTTATTAAACATGATGACTCCAACCCTATGTCTGAGTGCCATTTATGTCTAATACACAGAAATCTGCTTTTTTTTTTCTTTTTCTAGATACCTGTCTTGGTCACACAGATAAGTTCCACCAACCATCCAGTGAAAGTCGGGCTGTCTGATGCATTTGTCGTTGTCCACAGGATCCAACAAATTCCCAGTAGGTAGAATAAGGGTAATAAGAAGTTGATCCTTCGATAGGGTCAGTTATAAGGACATTAACCTCAAAGGTGAACTGCACAAATATTAAGCCCACTGCTGCTTGTTAATTCTACTATGTGTTTTATGTTACTAGCTCTTGTTTGGTTTGTTTATCCCCATTACTCCTGAATTTAAAAACTTAGAGGGAGAGAAAAGACAAGGCTGATCCAAGCACATTTGACTGTGGCTGTTTGGGGACCCTTTGACATAGTTGTTCAGTTTTGCAGAGAGAGCTCGCAAACAATAGCAGTAAAACAAATGTAAAACAGTGATGAATTAGTGGATATTCCTACAACTTTCCAAAGAAAAATGGAGATGAACCTGTGCCTAGCAAAGAAGGCACATCTCTCCTTTTTGTTTGTATTATTTCTGATGTCATTTATATTTTTTGAAGTAAGAGAACATTCATTATTTGCACAGTTTTTCACTAGCATTGCAGATTCAAATGTTGCTGAGGATGTACTTAGACCTCTAGAACATGAGCTTGGCATGCCCAGAGACCCTGCATTCATCACAGCCTCGAAGCAAGAAAGAGAAAGGAACAAGTAAAAGTGCTGGCTGTGGTTTGTTCTGACTGCCTTCTGAGCATTCCGACTTGCCTCCTCTGTTGCCAAAATAATCCTGAGGAATCCTTCAGGGCACAAATCCTGGTAGTGTTTGCTTGCTCCTTTAAATACATTTTTATAAAGCAATGAATAATAGTAAAATACATTTAGAGAATAGATCATCTACTTCACCATTTTCAAGATCTTCCTTTATTTCATTAGGGGTAGGCTTAATTTATCACATGCATATGCTGTTTGGGACAGAGTTAAGATGATTCCATTTAATTATGTCATCTCTCAATTGCAAGAACTAAATGAAGTGGAAACTAGACTCTCCAAAGAAACTGTGTGTCTGCAAACATTCAAGAATTCTCTTGGCATAGGATGGCATTTATTAAAACTAACAATTCTACTCAGTGAAGAACATGTGTAACCTCCATTGGGTTTCTCCTTGTTATCTCACAGACTATAACAGGTAAAAGCCAAGGGAATTTTTAAATCAAGGCAGATTTTTCAGAAACTTAATTGTACTGAGAACAAAGCAAAGATACATTAGTGTGTGTAAGGCAACATAAAGGCTTCCTGACCGAATTCTTAAATAAGAGGCAGAGCCCTGGAGAGTCATGGTTGGCCTCTGTTTGAGGAGGAGTGTTCCCACATTTCTTCTTTTCAGGGGAGTTAAATTGGGCATGACTCAAGTTAGTTATTCAACAAGAAAAAAGGGGATACTGTCTTTCGTTTATTTTTTTGTTTCTTTCTGCCCGTGATAGATGGTTTACATGTCACTTGTTAGAAGGCACTTTAGAGAACAAACCCACAAAAATACAAAATATCTTTATATTCTATGATCATCTTTTTATATGTGATATTATGTTTGATTTTCCCTGATTGTACAGTTGTCCTTAGAAGGGTCCTAAAATGTGATTTAGGAAGTGTGGCCATGCTGTGGAGGGATTATTTTAGGGGAATGGATTCTCCAAAATATAAATTCCATTAAATAAAGTGGTCATAAAGGAATACATGTGAATCTTAAGAGCATATTATGTATGCTCCTTGATCTCAGTATACACTTCACAAAACATTACCCAGGCTTAGAGTTCAGAGCCAGTCAGTCCTCAGGCAGGTGCATGCTTGCAGTAGCACCCACTGCTCTTGTTGATTTACTATTCATTCCAGGGGAAAAAATAGGCAAGAAGAGCTGGAATCTCTAATGCTCCCCTCCTGATGCTACATGAGGCTACATGAGACAGAATTGATGAGTTCTGCTTTACAATCATTCCCGGAACAGGAAAATGTTAATCTCTTTAAGAATTTGTTCCAGTATTATAGAGTGAACCAGTGTATCACATGAGCTCCTGGAGAAGAAAAGCATAATTCCATTTCATGATCAAGTGGAAGAGAAACACACACACACACACACACACACACACACACACACACACACACACACACACACATACACACACTTTTATTGGCAAAAAAATGGAATAACCTAAGGTTTGTGTAATACAAAGTATGGCTTCTCCCCAGTCCCAGTCATGTGCTAGAGACTCATGACTTCTTGTTACTTGTGCTATCAGAATGTAGGTAAGTGTTTTAGTCCCTTGAAAATTTGTGTTAGAAGTCTCACTATCAGGAATATTTGCTTTGTAGAGCAAGAATCCTCTGGTTTCCTCTGGTTTTGTTACTGCTTTTCTTGATGACTGTATTTTGAGAATAACCAGTTATTATTAAATAATAGGCAATTTCTTTCCTTTCATAGTTATATTTTCTCTTTAGTCATAGATGTTGCTTCTCATATTAACATTTGTTAATGACATGTGTTTGCTTTCTCTGATCCAAGTTAGTACTTTGAAATTCTTGGTTCTGACTTTCTTCACTCAGCCTCACAGTTTCCCTGCCCTCCAAGTTTGATGAGGAAAGCAGTTTCTCAGTGAAAAGTGTAAAAATCACAATGCTATATGGGTCTTTGAAAAACAAAACAGAAACAAAGGAACTTACAACTGTGTCACTGAGTAATGAGTAATGAGAAATTTGACATACACAAATAGTATTATCTTTAATTATCAAGGAAGTTGTAACTGAGCAGCAGATTGACCAAGAATCTTTCCTGTCTTTGTTCATCAGATCTGCACATGAACATGTGCTTACTACCCGAATGTGACAAAGACATTCTTCTGTTGTGGCAACTTTTAACCTTAGACACTAAGTTTTAAGTTATATTTAATTAATTTGAAAATCAAGAATAGCATGTGACTGTTGGCTGCCATTAGACAAAGCAATAATAGACCTTGTATATACATATAGTTAAAAAAGTTAGCTGCCAAGTACTATTAAAATAACTTATGAGTTAAATATGATTAATAAAGAATTTCAAATATGAGTATACTTGGTCAACAGTAAATTTTGAAATACAATCATAATAATAGTTACTTACAATTTCTTTTTGCTTGATGGTAGGGTACAGTCATTATAATTTAACAATTACAATTTTTAATGTGAGATTAAACCATGAAAACACTAATAATCATGTAATTTTTTTCTAAGTTATTTCATAGAGCCCATTTAAAGTATTTCCAGAAGAGCATAGTTTATTATGGCAGAGTCATCATTCCTGTCATTCATTTAGGCCAAATTGTTCTATAAATCTCCAGTGAATGGTGTAAGCTGATCTCCATTCTAAGTGCAAAGCCCTTCAAAATCATTCATTCTGCAGTATGTGAAACTGCTTCCCTTTGCAGCACCATTCCATCTGATTCTCAAGCCTGAACCAGCTCACCAAGCCTCAATGAAAGGATAAATAAAGAACCAAGCTTTTTTTTTTTTTTTTTTTTTGTAAAGTACAATCTTATTAATGAGTATTGTGAAAATAGTATTTCATTTTAACTCATATATTATTAACAATAATTTAAATGGTCGGTCCTGACTTGAATTTTTAAAATGTGTGCAGATAGTGATATATGTAAATGTGTGAAATGTGTGTGTGTGTGTGGTAGAATGCTTGTCTGTGTCTGTGTCTGGGTATGTGTATGTGTATGCATCTATATATATATGTGTGTGTGTGTGTGTCTGTGTGTGTGTGTGTGTGTATGTGAAGGTGTGTATGTCTGTCCCTGTGTGTGTGGGTGTGTTTCGGTGTCTGTGGTGGAAGAGAGTGTGCTGGTGGCACATCCCTGAGTGCACATAGAGACAGAACAGGACAGGACTTTATAGGTCTTCTGTTACTTTCTATTTTATTACCTTGTTAGTCTACATTGAAATAGAAGCTTTACATTTCCTATAGGCTGTTTGGTCAGGAACTCAAAGGATTTGCCTTTTTGCACATATCTCTGTCCCTCACACAAAGGCTGTTGAGCAGCAATGCCCAGCCTTTTGCTGAGTGGTGGAGATTTAAACTCATCCTCTATGAGGTGAGAAAGTATTCATGCACTAAAACATCTCCCAGCCTGCTAACGTGAACAAAAAGGGAGGGAGAGAGGGAAGGATGGAGGGACAGAGGGAGGGAAGGAAGGAAGGAAAGAAGAAAGGAAGGAAGAAAGAACTCGGAATTCTTTGGATATTAGAAACCATTGATTCATAAACTAACACGTTTGAGAACTTTTTGTAGGATGCTATGAACAGCAAGTTCTCCTTTGGGAACTATGTTTAGACTATTTCATTTCATTTTTGTGCATTCATTGACTTTTCATCTGAGTCCATATATGCCAGGAAAATCAAGTTTTTACTTATTTAAATTGTCTTGATTTATTCAAAGCAGCCACAGACAGGACTTTAACACAAGGGTGACGTGCTAGGAATTTGAACATTCACTTGGTTAATGTACACTCGCTAGTGGGACCATTGGGACAGGATTAATTGATCTAAAGAAGTGAGGTCAGCACAAATTGCTTTTATATCTCGCATCCAAGGAATGAAAGAGTTCATATTTACAGACCCTTCTCTGTAGCTGCCTTCTTCCATAAAGCATGGACACAATTTTGCTAACCAGTTAGAATTGAGTTGTTTTTAAATTATTTTAAAATTATTTTAACACTTAATTATTTTAACTATCACGGCTTGATACTATATCACATTTACCTTTCTATTTTGTTTTGCCTCAAATTTATATTTTCATTTAATAATTACTTTACTCATACATTACATAAGAAATATTTGTTTTATTTACACTTGCCTACATAGGATGAATTGTAATTTTAACAAGTTCTTGTCACCTGCACTTACCTACATGCCAGAATGGTAATTCTCTCAAGGGAATTTTGATATTGAAAACTTCCTTTTCAGTATAGTTTGTACTACTGTGGTGTAGACCAGACATCTAAATGATTGAGCCCCAAATACTATTCACTGTTTTCCCAGTGCTTGTTTTGTCCAACACTTGATTCTAGAGGTAAAGAAAAAATTCATATTCCATTTCTCCAATATCCATCTAATGAAGCCATCATTTCTTTCTCTGTCAGAAAAATATAATCAATGGCATGAAGTTTAATAATAAGGCATTAGATTTAATGACATTTCAAATGTGCATTACACAATATTCCTCTAATTCTTGGAACATGGAGATATGCTTCCCTAGGGCCAGGAGAGCCATGTTAGTCACAAGACTGTGAGAACTGAACTCTGTCCTACTGTCACAAGCTTGATTCTAATTCTCTACTCCAGCTAGATGATTCTGAAAGGAAATCATGAAATGAAGCATGGTTGAGTATCAGGAAGCTGGATGAGGAAAGAAGTGGGGGAGAGTAGGTATTGCTTCTCATAGGTCTGATTTCCTTTACACCTGTGAAATGTAACCCTTAGACTTGAGCAGTAAACAGGGAATGAGGAAGGAGCACAGAGGTACAGACAGATACTCCTCCTAGTCAGTCAAATGTATTCTGCTTTATCCAACCTTTGACTGATGGTGCACAGAATCACAACAGAATTAGAAGGAAAACGTTTGCAGCTAACACATTAAAATGATTTTCTCTATGCTTTCTTTTGCAGCTCTCACTTGCTAAATCTGTTACAACATCTCTGTGTGGGAAGCTTGTAACTGCTGTAATAGTATCCTGTTTTTCGTTAACTGTTTTGTTTACTTACCCTGAGTCTTCATTCTGAGACTTGTATTAGAAAACAAATAAAATATAATCTTTTGGAACCAGTCATTAAGCATGGGCAACACAGATAAGAAAATGGTAGCAAAATGTGTGTTTGATGATTCAATGGACTGAAATATTTAGTAAATGTAAGGATGGGGTGATGAAGGAAATTAACATTATATTCTCTTGTGAATATTCTCTTTTAAGGCAGGCAAGTAAAGAAGAATCCAGTTAATCCAGTGAGGGTGGATGTGGAGAGAGATAAGATTCCCTACTGAAAGGGTTTGTAGTGGCTCAGACCAAGGCCAAGTCCTCAGCATAAAGGAAATTTGAATGTCCCAGAGCGACAAAGGGTACAGACTAAGAAACAACGACAGGGGATAGAGGATGAGGGAGAACGAAAGGGAACAAGAAAACAAGGGGGAAGTGGAAGAGGTATTTGTCCCCAGAAGAGAACAAAGGACTGCTCTGGACACAGACATGGGACATAGGAAAATGGCCATTTATAAAAGAAAAAGGGGAAATCCTGTGTCAAAATGTGGTGATTAATTTTAATTGTAATTAGGTAAGCCAAAGGGGACTTTTGATTGCTAGACTTCAATACTTTGATAGCTGAACCTTGGTAGTCAGCCTCAAGATGAGGAAGTGGACAAATAAGGGAATAGACCTCGGTGGCTAGCTTTAGGAATATAATCTAATGGTTTTTAAAAAAGGCAAAGAGAATGGGAGAGAAGGGCAAGGCCTATCAGAGCCACACCTGCCATGCTTTTGCTGGCCAGAGTCCTTTCACCTACTCTGATGGTGAGCAAACTTCCTCAAGCCAACAGGTCAACATTTGCACATTAAGTCATATTACCAGAATATCATAATCATGGCTCTGTATTTTTTCCAGGTGTTATTATTTGAAGGTCTACTTTATTTTCTAGTTTGTTACAGTCCTTAAATGTTTGTCAATCTTAAATTTTTAAAAGTGATAGGAAAATAATTGAAGTAACAAACATTTTAACATCAGTGTGGCTTATTTTCTTGAAGACATATGAGCTAAATACATTTCTGGAATCATATGAAACTTCTAGGCTTGACAGAACCAACCAGTGAATAAATCCCTAATGACTTGTTTTTAACAGAGTTGTCTCTGAATTATGGCATAAACAGCTATTTGGAAGCTATCATTGACTGGCGGGTCACCAAACAAAATGATTCTCATTAATTTTAGTCTTGTTAAATTTTTCTCCTCCTAATAGTTGGGGAATTAGGCAGGCAATAGAATCTGCACAGAAAATGTTTTCTCCCCCCCCCCACTCCATATACCCTATCAATTACTTCCCACTCATTGCCACTACCTGAGGTTTTCAAAGTCTGATATGACATGAACAGTGTGTAGATATGACATGAACAATATGCTGATAAGGTAAAAATCAGCTAATATGATGGGCACTTTCAAAACTTTGCTATACAGACCTGAGAACTTTCATCTAATAATTGTTAGCCCTTATTCTTTTTTACTTCTAGAGACTAGATTGAGCAAAACATATGGGATAGAAATATATTAGGAAGTTATTCAACTTAGATGGAGGGGAAAAAAAGTCATTACCTTTTCTTTTCTTCAAAGGTTAAAAACTAAAGAAATTGTTGTGATTCCATATCTCAAGGAAACATCTCAAGAAATCATGTTTTTTCCAATGTCAGAGGAAGTTTATCCTTCCTCAGTTGATAATCATTGAGAATATGTATGGTTCTTTCAATTATAAAGAAAACAAATTAATTTGATTAGTAATTTTAAACATTGTTTTCCAGTCTCATTAACATGAAGAGCTTTCCAGTGAGTGACATGTTGATTGCAAAATTATATACTTTCCCATGTAAGACAGGTTTGAAGTGAAGCCTGCCCAGTAAAGAGACTGATAGTTAAAAAGTCAAACCCCTATATTATATACATATATATCAAAAACTTTTTAATCATTGATGTGGAAAGTACAGATTGAGATTGGCCAGCCTCCAAGTAACTGCAATATGGACACACAACCTCAGAGACTCCTTGATAGATTTCCATATTTTGAAGGATTTGATACATGAAATCCCAAAGACAAGATGACTCAGTTTCTCTCATGTTAAACCTGAAGTGGTTTTTTCGGGAATGAGTGATACTTCTATGTCTATTATTAAAATGTTCTTGTTTAAGTGTAGAGAGATGTTCAAAGCTGATTTTTCTTTCACTTATTTTTATAGATGTTCGAAGAAGAACAATTTATGAATATCACCGAGTAGAACTACAAATGTCAAAAATTACCAACATTTCAGCTGTGGAGATGACCCCACTCCCCAGTAAGTTAATTTAAGACAGTGAAGTGGGAAAAATATCAAATTTGACAATCTATTCTGTTAAATAAGTTGACTTATAAATATTGTTTTCAGCATGCAATTCTAATTGTGTTTGTCAAGCATAAATTTCTTGACCCTGAGTGTGTACATGGATGGGTGGTGATATTTGGTTTGGATAACTAATCTCTCTCCTCTCCACACTGTCAATTAGTCTTGATGAGTTATTCTCTTCTGTTTCTTAGCATGTCTCCAGTTCAATACTTGTGGTCCTTGTGTATCCTCTCAGATTGGCTTCAACTGCAGTTGGTGTAGTAAACTTCAAAGGTAAAAGAACAATTTATAAACATGATATTTTTTTATTTTTAAAAAGATTTGTTACTTATACCCACTGAGTTATGTTTTGTTTGGTGTATAGATCATGTATGCATTGACAGTATAGGTGTGAATATACATGTATGTGTACGTTCATATATTTTATATACATAGGAATAGTTGGACAGACCAAACTGCTAAACCAGTGTAGTCATAAAAGGATATTTGAACATATTCCTTTGTCAAATGCTTAAAATGACTAAGAACCTTCATAGTTTTTAAGGTCATTTGTAATTCTCTATGGGGCCTAGAATGCATCCCAATATAAGTGCTGAACCCGCGAATGGATAGTTTCAGCCCTTATTCTACAGAAAGCATGACATGAGCAATAGCAGGAATGTATTTCAGGAATCACATGCACATTCTTTAAAAATTCCTATCCAGCAGGTAAAATGTCATTACTTAAGGTTATTGCTGTAGGCTGATGTTGACATTCCCTGACCTTCCTATGATTGGAACATGTACGTGACTTTAGCTCTGTGCTCTAATTGACTTAGAAACTTAAGGTGCATAGTTCACTTGTGTCAAAAATATTAACTGGTTGTCTTCGGTGGTAAAGAGGATTGTTCAATCTCAGAAGTTTTACAGAAACTGAATGGTGTGAGAGATATATGACACGGGAGAGCAGATTGCTATTCCTTGAAATGATGGATAGACATACTTCAACCAAATCTTGTATAAATTGTGACATTGAGCTGACTCAGTTCAAAGAATACCTATTGGTTCTGTGGAAGCAGAGTGCATTACTTAGGTTTCTCTAGAAAGCAGATTAAATAGAATGGATTTATATTACAAAATGGGATAAATTAGATTCGCTTACACAATGTAGCACTAGTTAGTCCTGATATGACTGTAAATGCTGAACGAGCTGAGTCCTGTTGTTGTTGTACCACAAAGCAAAATGTCCTCGTAGTCCCAGTATGCTTATGAAGGTCTTGAAATTTTCTGGAAAGAAGCTGCTCTTTATTTATGATGGAAGGCCAAAGAAGCTTGGGTTGGATAAGCAGAAGTAACATTGGGATCTATACCACACCACAAAACCCAAAGACAAGCAGAGAAGCATCTAAAGAAGTGTCATCACCCCTCTGTTAACTATTCCTGTGGGGAAAACAAAACAACACAAACAAACAAAAACACTTTCTCACCAGCCCAGAAGCATGTCTGTTAGTTGGTTCCAGAACCAACCAAATCAGCAGTCAAAAATGCCTATCACAGGAAGCATAACTGTAAGAGATTTAATACAGAAGACTCGTAAGCAGTCACTCTGGCAGTGACTGTCATTTGTTGAACCATTGTGCACATCATGCATGTCAAAGCTGCAGTGATGAACATGGCCAGGAACTCTGCACCCAGATGGAGTTCCAGCAACTAGCATTTGGAGTCCATGAAAAGACACCTTCTCCCTCCAGGTGGTGTCCCTCAGTGGGGACCATAGATAACAGATGTTGTCTCCTCATCTCCCTGTTTCAGCATTGTTGCTAAATGCATGCTAAGGGACATGTTAAAGAATAAAGAAAGAATGCAAAATTTTTCATGACAATTTTAGGAAACCTTTTTATCTGGCTAATTTTGGAGTGACCACTGCAATATTGCAGCTACATCAATGTTGTTTATGAGAACCTTATTTTGATTCTCAACTGAAAATGCTTTGCCAGCCATTTCCTTTGGAAAATGAATTTCAAATAATGAAAAGGCAAGCAGGCAGTCAGCATTTTTCATAGCAGATTTTATGTGAGTTTTATATTCAGAATGGGTAGAACAGTAGCAAATCAAGGATAGGTGTTTATATGTATATTTTGCTAAGATTTTGTAAAGATCACATGCATATTACAAGTTACTCAAATATGTTTAGACTCTGACATCAGAAATGAAAAATATCCAAAGCAATTGAGTGAAAGATCAGCCATCTTCGTAGCACTTCAAGATCAAGTTTATTGGCTACCATCCTGAGCCATTACAATTAGAGTAAGGCTTGTAGGTCTTTCTTCACTTTTTTAAATTCTTTAAATTGTGTTAAAATCACAGACCATGTATAATATTTCATAGGAATACCTTGATATTATATTATATAATTGATAAATTGTGGTTATTTTCTCGATGAGTAAATCCTTTGTAGGTTTTACTGGGACTAAAGCATGTTCCAGGATAAGAGATTTTCTGATGAAAACCAGTCCAAGTTGATGGGCCATATCAGTGTATACTATTAATGAGTATTTTTCTTCCCCTGCCAGTCTGGTCCCACTGCCCCGCCAGCCCCAATAACACACAGAGACTCTGTATTTGATATAATGCTATTAGCTAATTACTAGTTTCTGATTGGCTAGCTCTGTCTTAAATATTAACCCATTTCTATTAATATAAGTAGTTCCACGTGGTCTTATCTTACCGGAAGAGAGATTGGCATCCTATCCTGTAGGTCCTCCATCTTGGAAATCCTCCCTACTACTTCCCCTCTCCTCCTAGTCCCGCCTATCTTGCTTTCCTATTGGGCAATAGTGCTTTATTCATTAACCAATAAGAGAAACATATTTACAGAATGACATCTCCCATCATCTCCTCTTTTCTGTCTAAAATAAAATGAAGGATTTTAACCTTAACATAGTAAAATATATAACAAAACAGTTACCAAATAAGAACCACAGTTAACAATATTTAGTCCATTAACATTTAGCAAGATTTAAAGAAAATATTCCATCATCTATCCTATCTTTGTGAGTCTAAAGTCTGATATGTAACTTATCTGTAATCCTAACTAAAGAAAACTATAACCATAACTATTTGTCTTCAACTCCTTCAAAGACCACAGAAGGATAGTATAAAAACTCTAGAAATGACAGAAACAATTCGCTGCTGGTCGGTCACCTGAAGTTCTTCTGTTTTCTTCCATCTTCAGCCCATAGGCAATAGTGTGTCTGGCAGACTCCTCAGCAAAGCAGGAAACTTTAAACTGTCCACTTGTATTGGCAGTTTGTCAGTCACTTTTCTCTGTGTCCTACAGACTGTCTGGAAGACTCTTCCATAAAGCAGGAACTCTGTATCAATGTCCATCTTGTTTCAGCAGTCACTTTCCTGTGGGTTCGGTATGTCCAGTTTATACAGCATGAAGTCAAACAGTCCAGACAAGAGCAGTATCTTCCCCAAATGGCTAGTCTTGCCATATTGGGAGTAAACTCCATAATGAGTTTCCTTGATGTCATTTTCCTTTCTGATGCAGGTGGTGTTGCCAGGAGCAGTTGTGCCTCACTGTCAAGAAAAACCCTAAACCATTTTAAATGCCATATTCTGTAGGTCTTTGAAAGTTTTGAAGAATGCCTATCCATCTTAAATACATCTTGAAAACCTAACTTAAATCTAAGTTTTGACTATTATAGGTAATTATAGGTATTATCTACAATCTGTACTAAATTATACATTTTGTTTTTAAATGAGCTATATAAATATAATACCTAAACAAGAGAAGAATTATACATATCACAAAATTGACCTTAAATTGTATCAAATGAAAATCCATTACATTGCAAAGTATTCATATCTATACCATACTCCCCTTTTTACCTTTAAAAAGATTGGTTTTGGTCATTAACCTTTTATAACCAACCCCATATAAATTAAAACTAACATTTATAAACAATATGTGGGAATTTGGGTGTTGTTCTTTCCAAACTGCTTCCTGCAGTTAGGGAGCACTGTCATGAAAATCCTAAGAAGACTCAGAAATCCTGGCTGTAGTGTGCAAGGCTGTCTCAAGGACATTGCTTCAGGGGTCTTGCTTGGTCAAACCATGTTTGTCTCGAAGGAATCCACAGCTTTTCATTTTCTGTGGAAACAAAAATAGAAATCCTTTTCCCCAGTAACCTATCCTTACACTTAAAATTTGTAGTCAAAGCATTTTTAAAATATATAAATTGAATTAATCCAGCAGCATTTGTTTTAACAGTTGTTGATATTTCTTCAGCAGTCAAACAATTTAAAGAAAACAGACCAGCATATAGTATCCAAAGTTCCTCTGTGCTTTCCATCTTTATGTGGCTTTTTTATTACTCTATTTCTTCTACTTCTATTTTTTCATTTTTTGAGGCAGGATTTCTCTGTGTAATTTTTATCTGTCCTGGAATTAACTCTGTATACCAGGTTTACTTTGAAATCACAGAGATCTGTTTGCCTCTGTCTCCTGAGTGCTGGAATTAAAGGTGTGTGCCACCACACCCAGGTACTCTCTGTCTTTGTAAAATCATTTTATTCTTTTGCTCTCCCAAGCCTACGTATATTTTAAAACACACTGTAAACCTTTAGCGGTTTTTCTTAATTTGAATCTGTCTTTACTGTATATCTTTATATTTTTGTGGCCACTAGTCTTTATCTAGTAAACAACATAGCTAAAATGAAAGTCACAGCAGTATTAGCCACAGGCTATCCAAGATAGTGGCGGGTACTTTTACTGCCAGAACTGAGAGCTATGCTCAGTGCTTTAGTCTACCCTGCCATCCAGCAGCATGTTGCTGGCTTAAAAATGTGGTCACTGCCATTTCCAGCTCTCCTAAGCAACATTAAGTTGTTAGCAGAGCTCTTTAAAAGCCTTGCAGTTTTGTTTTGTTTTGTTTTTTGCTGCTTATGCTGAGTCATGAAACCTCCCTTAAAGGAGCCGCACAAATCTCTGCTTGTCTCTAGCAAAACATAGTACAACTGAGAAAAAATGCTGTTACCTAGAAACCTAGAAAAAAAGTCTCTGACTTTTTTTTTTTTTTTTTTTTTTTAATCCTTTCTAAATTTTAAGTGGAAGTTCTTTGGTCCCTTCTTCAGTCTGGGTTGGGCGCCATTATGTTCTAAGTAGATTTTTCCCTATCAGCCTGGTCCCACCACCTTGCCAGTCCCAAATAATACACAGAGACATTGTATTAAATATAATTTTGTTGGCCAGTTACTAGTTTGTTATCGGCTAGCTCTGTCTTAAA